GACAAGAGACACTGTTGATAATTATGGCTCCAACGGTGAAAATAAACTCAAGTTGAACGCTTCCTTCTGTCTTGTTTTCCATGGTAGAATTGCGCACAATGCTGTTGGTTGTGTTTGTTAAATTGGAATCAGAGAGGATCTCCATAATTGAAATGAAACTTTCTGAAGCAGCTGTCTCTCTGATTTGCTCTTTAAGACTGAGGAGAATGTTACTTTATAATAGTGTGCAATTAATAAGTACTTTTTCAGGCTTTATTTTCTTAGTAAATGCATCGAACTCATGCAGCTGTCAAGTATTTTACTAAATATGTCACACCGGCTAAATTGTTGATAAAATTTGCTTAGAAAATGTTACATCGCTAAGTCAGAAATGCCGAGAAGTTGAAAAATGATAATTTTCCCCTAGTGTCAGGATTTCGTTGATATTAGCAAAAGTCTTAAGTGCAGAAAAGATATAAAATCCAAGTTATCGTCAAAATAACGTAATTTTAAATCTGAGTAATGGTCAATTATTTCGCTTTCTTTTAAACTTAAGGGTTTTCAGAACTTGAAAATGCCCTATTATTTGTAAACTCTATTTATAATTTATATTTATAGTTTTAATCATTTATTGCCGGGTTTATTTGATGGCGAATGGGGACTATTACTCCTCGGGTTTTTGGTACGAACTGCGAAATGGGAACCGAACGTCAGTTACTGTTGAAAAACCTAGCTGACAAGCTATCGCGTTTTAAGGACGGGGAACCACTGTTTTGACATTGTAAGGTCTGACGTCCACATGTGCGTTATGGGATCAGGAGCCACCTTTCGCAATTTGAGGGACTTTTAAGTGATTTTATGTCAATTCAGAGATTTTTTAAACCAAATTTCATGGTTAGTCTGGCCTGAATGCTATTTACATTTCGTTTTTAGACCGACAGTTTAAATCGTTTTATATTGTGATTTTTGATGAAAGTCCTTTATTAGTTTTTATAAAGTATTTTAATTCATTATTTAGGAAGCATATTCGTTAATTTTAGTCTTATTTCCAATTTTATATCGTGAAAAGCTTAATTTATTGTAAATATACTTCATTTAACAGTTTTTGTTCATTAGGGTTTTTTGTTTGATTCATCTCAGAACGCTGCAAACATTACGTTAGATTGAACGTGGGCGGAATATGTCTTTGAAAAAACGCTCCCTGAAATCGTTTTCATTATGACAGTATGTGAGAATCGAATATAACTACTAGATTACTGAATATAACTGCCGAACGATGTAGTTATCACACTTCTCGCAGACTCTGTAAACTTTGATATTTCGCTTTCCACTTCAATATTTATACCAAACGACTCACCAAAGACGCAATGTTTGTATTAGGCCCAGGCCAAACGTCAAACTTTTCATTAGACGAACCAAACTCTAATTTGTTTACACCTTTGGGTCGACCTAAATTAAATTAAGATAGTATGTTGGTCAGCAGACGTCGAACTTAGGACCCTCGAACCAGTCCACTGCATGAATCAGAGCAAAAAGCAATTTTGATCAATATTCTCACGAACGAGGCTAATTATACATCATACAAATTTTTAATTTTACAATTAATAGTTCATCGTCGCATGTGAAGATAAACGTTTGTCCCGGAGACAATCTTACGACGTTCTATGCTTCTGAAGCAGGCGGATAGAACGTGTTCGACGATCCAAACTCATTCCGACGAACTAAACTGAGGCAGACGTCGAACTATTCCTAAACTTAAGATGGCTTGACTGGATTTTTTAGGGGGGACACCTCCCAAGTTTGAGCATTAACTACGTCGGCAAAAGTAAAGATGTGGTAAAAAGGTTACCACAACTGTATTCTAATGACGCCATTACGTTTTTTACTTTTCTTTGTGTTTCTCTGTACCAGGAGTTTTTTTTAATGAATCGCTTAAGGGAGTATGTACTTGCCATAATTGTCTCAATCATGGCAAAGTTTGAACAAATTCTATGAGAGCGTTTAGGAAATATTTTGAAACGAAGCTTTAAGAATTATAAAACAGTGAAATAGCATGCTATCCACTTAATAAGCTAATATTTTAAGAAAATGATAAGCTTTGGAAAAGCGGCTTCATCTCATAGGGGTTTGATTCCATTGAAAACAAGACGCTGTGGGAGCGTATATTTGGGCGTGGTTGTATTACGCGTATGATACTTTTAACATGCCTTATTGCAGCTAAACAACTGTCATCATATTCCACCAGAGAAAATAAATCCTTTATTCTGCTTCTTTGCTGAACCACACAACTTATACAGTATGTTCCAATCCACAACAAAAATCCTGTCACTTCATTGCAATGTTTTGAAAAGCACATCTTCAACACAGACTTGCTTTCAGCCAAATTGCAACATAGGACACCAGTGCTTAAAGCCCCGAGAGTGAGGTTTATCTGAGCTCCACTGATACTGACACTTCGAGGAAGATGGACTGGCATAATATGTCTTTTCGCACCCATCACATTGTACAGTGAATTCCGGTTACTAATAAGGGCAGATAAAGTTCCTGAAGTCCAGTATCCACAAGGATTTATAACAGAGTAACACATTGCATCAACTGCTACAGCGCAGCACTGTTTACAGAAACATTGGTAACTATCAACATTTGATATACTACAATATTCAACACTGCTTAAGAAAAGATCAACTTCAAAGGTGGCAATATGTACACCTTTAAGCTCATATATATCCTCATTCCCATATAGACTCTGAAAATATTGTACTAATTTATGCATGGATTTAATTTCCAACAATACACATGTCCTTTCACTATGACTGTTACCATACATATCTCTAGCATGAGAATCAAATGCTTTGTATCCACCACCATCAATGCTGTAAGATAACAACACCAATAATTCCCAGCGTTTAAATGAATGAGTTGTAGTTTAGAGCCAAGAGTGTTTCAAATGCTGTACCCAGTGGCATACACAGTAGTGATACCCCTCAATTCTGGCATCGTGTAACAAGTATAACTCTCACTGTATTCAAGCTGCAAAAATCGCTCAAACACTGTAACCGTTCCTAGCAATTCTGTTAACATTAACACAGATTTACTTGCAAGCCAGACTAGAATATATCTGATTACCAACAACCACTATTTGAATCTTATCAACTGAAGTATCTTACTGTAAAGTAAAGCGCACAGACTCATTGCAACACATTGTTGTCCTGCATTTTCCTTAAATACTGAAACGTTTCCTTGACAGTATGGAGCATGAATTGTTTTTGTAGCATCTACATAAACTGATGGTCCTGGATTCTTCGCGATATCCGTACAAGGCCAAAATTAACCCGGTGATTCAACTTAGGCGACAGATACACCTTCCCTAGTTTACGAACTAATTTCGGAGTGGCCCTTTAAGTAAAAACCTCACACTGTTACGGTTACTTCTGTACCTGTTTATAACAATGAATTTCAGACGACAATGGTGTATTTTTCCGAATACCCTTCCATACAAAAACTCTCACTTTCCGTGTTTTCTGTAACAAAGATTTTATTTTCTTCATCGGTAGTCTGCTATATGCTCGACCGCATCGAGAGAACTGACTAACCTTATTTAAACCAATGGAATTTTAAGTTCTGTAATAAATAAATTTCCCATGCACGAAGAGAAATTCAAGTTCTTTTACTTCCTCTATGACACAATTTTGCTTCTGTACAATTGAGTCATTGCCTTTTCCTGTCACCTCACTGCCATCAAAACACTCTAATTCTGAAACAAAACTTGCTGATAACGCAAAATCCTGACACCGAGCACCGTACATGTACCGCGTTATATAAAACACAACGTGCAATACAACAAGGACATTAACAGTCACTCTGCTAAGCAAAATTGAAAGCATATGAAGAATTGTTACAGCTATCACAGTAGTTACAAAAGCAATTGTTGACAATCGTCTCGTCCTTCACTGGAACACATTTACATGAACACAGGCAGCCTCTAGTCTTCCCCATTGTGAATATCCAAATCACTTTTGTCACACTGATTACCAGCTATACAAATCTTTCGACTCTCAAATTTTATACACATTCCTCTCTTCAAACTCTTATTCGTTTCACACGAACACTCCTGATATTCCAGGTATTTCGATTTGTCATTTCGTCTATGAGTATTTGATGTCATTGAATGTCTTGACAATTTCATTTGATTTTTGCTGAAATTCCTTTTAAGTACCTTTTTTAGTTTTTAGTTAGGAAGCATCTTAGTAAATTTTACATTTATTTCCAGTTTTATAATGTGAAAAACTTGTTTTATTGTAAATATACCTAATTTGATAGTTTTCTATATTAAGGATTTTTTTTAGTTTGATTCATCTCAGAACGCTGCAATCATTATAAAGTTAGGTTTTAACGCGGACGGAATATGTCATTTGAAAAAACGTTCCCAGAAAGAGTTTTCATGACTAAAACGGATGACAGTACTAAAACAGAATATAACTACTATATTACTGATATATAAGTACTGAACGATGCAGTTATCACACTTCTCGCAGACTCCGCAAACTTTAATATTTATTCCCACTTCCATATTTACGTCAAATGACTCACCAAGAAACAATGTTTGTATTAGGCCTAGGCCAAATGTCGAACTCTTCATGAGACGAATCAAAGTCTAATTTGGGTCGACCTAAATTAAGTTAAGAACGTCTGTTGGGTCAGACGTCGAACTCAGGACCCGTAGAACCAATCAACTGAATCAAACCAAAAACTATTTTGATAAATCTTCTCACGAACGAAGCTAAATATACATCGTCATACAAATTTATAATTTATTAGTTTGGTTCGTCTCATGTGAAGATCGACGTTTGTCCCGGAGACGATCTTAAGACGTTCTATCAGTCTGCTTCAGACGATCCAAACTCATTCAGTTAATGACTTAACTCACTCACTCACAAAGTTTGGTTCGTCCCATGAAAAATTCAACTTTTGTTTGGCCTAGTCCTTAGTTTACAGGGTTAATGGTGTTGGATGGCCTTAAACTAAATACAAACTTTCTCATTTCTTTCTGGCGCATACAGTAAATCAGCGGATTTACAAAAGTTTAACATGCTAAGCGTGCGGACCACAATAACAAGAATTTCCATTTGTTTGTCAGAACTAAAGAGAGGGACTTGATTTCGCTTTCGAAATACTGTGGTAAAGAGCTGATATATGCTCATTGGTAGAAAACACAAGATGATTGTACCTACCACAAGTACAGTTGTCTTCAGTGCTTTGTTTTCTTTAACAAATCTTTCAATTTCCGCTTGTGGAAGCTGTTCTTTTATGATTCTTTTTCGGTGACGAAGAGTTTCACGATACAAAATAATGTAAGCTATTACAATAAAAATGACACTAAAATACATCGTAAAAAAATGCAAAAGTTTCATTATATCTTTTAAAATGGCCTTTTTTACGTAACGTAATGCTCCAGCCATAAAAGAAAAGGACCAAATTGCAAGAACCAATACCTTAAAGTTTCGCTTTCTAACTATGTACGAGTAATGGTTTGTACATTTAATTGTTATCAGCCTCTCGCAAGTTAATAAAATCAAGTGAAGTGATGAACTAATAGTAAGAACACGTAAAAAAGAGTTGTGAATCTCTTTGACTACATCTACTGCAGTAATATCACGGGCGTTTTTAAGAACATAAAAGGTTTTCCAAATAAGGAACGATGGTTGAGCCAAGAGACCAGTCAACAGATCAGTTACCGCTAAACAGGAAAGCAGGATGTTTGTGTTATTCTGTAGGCCTGGTCGCTTCTTTACCGCCATGATGACCAACACGTTTAGCAAAACTGTGAAAGGACAAGCGATACTGTTAATAGCCAGTATGGTGCCAATGGTGAAACTAAAGTCAAGGGGTTGAACGCGTCCTCCTGTTTCGTTTACCATGGTAGCATTTTGTAAAATCTCGTTTGTCTTGTTTGTGAAGCTAAAATTGGGGAGCCATGTCATTTCATGAGTGAAATCCTTGTGCAGACAACTGTCCTCTGATCTTCCTTTTATTTGGAGGACAAATTAACCAATGATCGATCATGAGATTTTCAGTTCTGATTACTTTTGATTACCCACCTCTTCAATTTGATCCGGTCTTGGTTCCAAGTACATTTTCCTCCACTTTCGGTTTCTTAGTCAAAAAAGGTTATTCATGTATCAATTAGTGTTAAACGCAGTTTAAAATCTCTAATTATATTTTTATCTATTGTTGTCATTAGTAAATGATCCCTTGCATACAGTCAAATATTTTAATTAAACATAAGCAGTGATTGTTGATAAAAATTCGTTTAAGAAAGTTAATTGGGCGCTAACCTTGAGCAGTCCGATTTTTTAATTTCTGATCAAGAAATCGTTTTGAGGAAGAAAAGATATTATAATATTCTCTGGAAACTCCATGTTCGGGGAAATCCTTCTAGATAGTTCTTTTACACAAATCAGTAGATAGCAATTTTCGCGACTCTTGATTGGCTCCCGTAACTCAGAATATCCTTAAGCCTAGTCACTGTTTTGGGACAGGAGTCATTATGGCGTCCCGTTTCGCGACAGTTTCGGCAGACGACATTATAACCACAAATAAAGCTGGGGTACCAACAATTACGGTAATTTTACTTCATTACAATTTCTTTTCACGCAGTTAGCCAAAACATTCGTCAAAAACAAGAAACTATAAAACAAATTTGTGTAATGCAAGCTGTGAAGAGGCGAAGATTTAGGATTCCTCGACGATTATATTTCATACCAAGAAATTATAAAGCGACGGAATTTGGCTAAATGTCGGTGTTTTTTTAGGATAGGCCTGTAAATAATTATTTTCTTATTGAATTTGCTGCAAAATCGTGAAAATACACTTAAAGAACTGTCAATTAAACTCAGTCTTATTTACAAAAAGTCAAATCGAACTATTTTATCCAACTGATTTGGTAATTATTAAAAACAACTATCCCCTTGAAGATCATTACATAGATATATACCTCGAATTTGTGTCTTGGGGGTTACTTAGTTTTATATGTTATTACCCGATATTGATTGATCTCAAAGAAGGCAATCACTTCAAACTAAAACAGCTTTTATTTTATTGTTTTGAGCCGAAAGGAAATCCAAGACTTTTTGTCAAATTTATCTTTCTACACGCTTTTTTTGATGGAAGCAATTCCGTTTTCAAAGTCAGGTACCGTAACGCTGTATCCAGCGAGGATACCCCGTCGAAAACCAGGTTAGGAGGTCAACTCTTTTGTAACCCAAACTAATTACAATCGATTTTATAGCCTATTGCTGATTATTTAAATGCAACATTTTAAAGCACAAGCGCCATTCAATAATTGTCCAACCTCATTACATCAATTAGCAATTGCTCTTTCCTGACTTATTATTTTCATAACTGTTTGCAAGTGTATTGTTTCTAATACATAGTAAAGGAATATGTCCCTTTTAACTCTTTCCATTACCTAAAACCATAAAGAACGAAACCAACTATTAAGTCGGCGTCTCTCATCAATAATATTCAGCTGTTTCATGGCATTGTCTTGTCAGCACACAGCAATATAGTCCCCACTTCACTGGTTTCCGCGATGAATCAGTGCAAATGTTTTTCACCACAAATTTTCCCACTCCAGTTAAAAGATCTATTAGCCAGCTATTCTTCAATGTGAAGAAAGCATTTGAGAGCATTGTTTTAAAGACGTAGACGAAAAGAACTAAAAAAAGGTTACTCAGTCTCTCTGAACTTTAGTAACAGATCAACAGTTGCTCAATTTGGTGACTGCCCATTATTTGTTCGACTCTAGCCAGCTTTGTTCACACAATAGCGGATGGCTTTTGCACCGGCAGGAAACATGGTATCGGATAAGCCCTCTGGCGCCGCCCCGATCTCTAAAGTGGAGTCAGTCCATATCGGATAGGTGTTCATACTATACCGGATGGCTCAACATGGTACCGGATGCCGGATCGGGGCTTCTGGCGCCGCCCCGATCTCTAAAGTGGAGTCAGTCCATATCGGATAGGTGTTCATACTATACCGGATGGCTCAACATGGTACCGGATGCCGGATCGGGGCTTCTGGTGCCGCCCCGATCTCTAAAGTGGAGTCAGTCCATATTGGATGGGTGTTCATACAATACTTGATAGCTGTTCGTGTCGGCTTTTGCGCTTCATTGATTCACATTCTCCTGACCAGAAGTTCACCTTAATGCGTTACCTAGCGAGAAATTGTTTATTGTTGGACTGTAAGTTCCGATCATTCCTGAGTTTTTACTAAATTGCGGCAGAATAAATAGCTCTACGAATTACAAAGAATTGTTCCTCGTTGTGTCTACACAGAATCAACTGACCTTTCAAATCGGTGTTTGATAGTACAGACGGTGAAAACTTTAATATTTATATTACACTTGCCAGAAACAATCATTTCAGCATTAGTTCATAGGGTAAACAGCGTGGAATGGTGATCTAAATACAAACTTTCTCATTTCTTTTTGTCGAATACAGTAAATGACTGGATTTGCAAGAGAGTTTAACATGCCAAGCGTGCGAACCACGATAGTAAGAATTGGCTTCTGCTCGTCAGAACTAAAAAGAAGGACTTGATTTGGCTTTCGAAATACTGTTGTCAAGAGCTGATATAAGGTCATTGGTAGAAAACACAAGACGATAGCACCTACCACAAGTACAGTTGTCTTCAGTGCTTTGTTTTCTTTAACGAATCGTTCAATTTCCGCTTGTGGAAGCTGTTGTTTTATGATCCTCTTTCGGTGACGAAGAGTTTCACGATACAAAATAATGTAAGCTATTAAAATAAAAATAGCACTAAAATACATCGTAAAAAAATGCAAAATTTTCGTTGTATATTTTGAAATGTCATTTTCTACGTAACGTAATACTCCAGCCATAAACGAAAAGAACCAAGTTGCAAGAACAGATACCTTAAAGTTTCGCTTTCTGACTATGTACAAATAATGGTTTGTATATTTAATCGCTATCAACCTCTCGCAAGTTATTAACATCAAGTGGAGTGATGAACTAATAGTAAGAACGCGTAAAAAAAGGTTGTGAACTTCTTTGACTGCAGTGATGTTGACGTTTTTAAGAAGATAAAAAGCTTTCCAAGTAACGAACGATGGTTGCACTATGAGACCAGTCAACAGATCAGTTACCGCTAAACAGGCAAGCAGGATGTTTGTGTTGCTCTGTAGGTTTGGTCGCTTCTTTACCGCCATGATGATCAACACGTTTAACAGAACGGTGAAGGGACAGGCGATGCCGTTGATAATTATGGTGCCCACAGTGAAAAAAAACTGAAGTTGAACGCTTCCCACTGCTGTCTCGTTTTCCATGACTTCCATGGTGGCATTTTGCAAAATCTTGTTGGTCGTGTTTGTTGAACTAAAATTAGAGAGGGTGGCCATGCTATTTGAAATGAACTGCTTGCGCAAACAACTGTCTTTGTGGTCTGTCTTTTATTTGAAGCCTAAACCAATGATTCTGATTGAGGTTCTTCGGATTGCTTTTACTTGACTACCTCTTCACATTGATCCGCTCTCGGTTCGGTACAATTTCCTCCACTTCAGTTTTTCATAGTTTTTCCACTCGACTGAAATATTTTTCCTGTGTCAAAAGTACAAAAAGCAATTTAAAGGCTATAATATTTAATATATTTTTTGTTGTTGTCATTAGTAAATCACCCATTGCAACAAAAAAAATTAATCATGATAGCATAAGAAGAAATAATTTTTAGTAAAAGGTGTTAACACTGAAAACTTTTCATGAGAAATTCTGATCAAGCTTTAAAACGTGTCAAAGAAAAAGATATTTTTAACAATCAGTGTAATCTTTCTATTTTGTTCTTTTTTATACTTACCAATTTTCGCGTGTTTTAATTAGCTCCCGTAACTCGGAATAGTCACGGTTTTGGGACGGGAGTCAATCGCGTCCCGTTTCGTGAAAGTTTCGGAAGATGACTTTTTGGCGACAAATGAAGCAGTTGTACCACAGAAAGCGACAAAACTTAGCTTGTCGGTGTTTACTGGCGTGCAGAAAAAATGCACTTGGAAAATCCCTGAAACACTGTACTGTCTATTAAAATGTAAACAAATCTCTTTCTATTAGAGTCAACTTTTATTTAGATTCGATAGTCAGTTGCTTGTTGAAGCATTAAACAAGAACAATTACACTTAAAAACGTTACTCAACGTTTCGGTGAATCACTCATCATTATTAAGAGTGGTTTAAAGAGCTGAAGTTTGAACAGATTAGATTGTATTCGTGCATGTTTCACTGTTATGTAGATTAATATTTCTTAATAGAAATGCTAAGCGAATTGAATCCGATTGAACATTCAATGATGGTTTGGGTTCTTGTATAAATAGCATCTCGTAGACAAGGCATTCGAATTTGTTTCTGCAGCTCCAAGAGGATAATTTGCTTCCTGCTTCGCGTCGGGAAACATTGAGATTCTTCGGGAAACAAAATGAATTGTTCCCTCGAGATCAGTCATTAAGTGCTTAATATCTTACAGCTTCTAAATATATCATTGATATAGATTAAAAACAGAGTGGTCCAAGAACAGAGCCTTGCGGTACACCTAATTTAATTGTTAAGCAATCTGAACTAGTTGATTTGAATTCAACAATTTGTTTTCTTCCTGATCAGTAGTTTACTCCAAATCCATGATGAACTAGCTTATATGGCAATATATTTTGATCGACCGTGTCAAATGCCTTGGAAAGGTCCAGGAAAAGCCGCATTGTATGTGAAACATGATAGGCTGGCAAACCATGTTAGGAGATCCACATTTTTAGAACCTAAATTAATTGATTTATAGCCGGAGCTATTATTTTCTGACTGTTTATAATTTAATGCAGTATTTCCATGCACAAGCACCACGCTTCAATTGTTCAACCTCATTAGATCAGTCAGCAATTAGTGATTTTAACTAGCTTTTTAAGTAAGGGAACATCCTTTTTCTTGATAACCCTTCCATTCATTTCCATCGGCTTATGACCAAAAGGAAGTAAGCCAACTATTTAGACCGCGTCTCTCACCAAATTTTAATCAGCTTTTTCATTAAATTGTCTGAATTGCAGTAGACGGCAGTCCTTAGTCGCCACTTCACTAGTTCCGTCATGATGAATGCATACAAATGTTTTTCATCACAAATTTTCCCACTCCAGCAAAAATTAAGCTCCATTAGTCAGCTATTCTTCAATTTGAAGAAAGCAGTTTAAAGCATTGTTTAAAATTTGATATAGCATTTTGTAAAATCTTGTTTGTCTTGTTTGTTAAGCTAAAATTGGGGAGGACCGCCATGTCATTTCGTGAAATGAAATTCTTGTACAAGCAACTGTCATCTGATTTGTCTTTTATTTGGAGGACAAACCAATGATCATGAGACTTTTTTGATTGCTTTTGATTACCCACCTTTTCAAATTTGATCCAGTCTTGGTTCCGACTACATTTTCCACCACTTCAGGTTTCTTGGTCAAAAAAGGTTATTCATGTATCAGTTAGTATTAAATGCAGTTTAAAAGCTCTAATTATATTTTTGTCTATCGTTGTCACAGTAAATCACCCCTTACATGAAGTCAAATATTTCAATTAAACATAAGGAGTGATTGTTAATACAAATTTGAAAAGTTTACTGGGCGCTAACCTTGAGCAATCCGATATCTTAATTTCTTATCAAGTAGAAGAATCGTTTTGAGGAAAGAAACTATTAAATATTATAACATTGTCTGGAAACTCTATTTGCTGGTAAATGCTTCTATAAAGTTCTTTATTAAAAACTGAATCATTGGATAATGCAATTCTAGAGCTCTGGTCGGCTTGGTCATCCTGGGATATGAGCCATTATTATTCATTCAAAATATATACTTACTTTTGGGCCGGCAGGAAACATGGTACCGGATAGGGCTTCTGGTGCCGCCCCGATCTCTAAAGTGGAGTCAGCCCATATCAGATAGGTGTTCATACCATACTTGATAGCTTTTCGTGTCGGCTTTTGCGCTCATGATTCGCATCCTAAAAAAAGAAGTCCACCTTAATGCGTTACCTAGCGAGAAATTGTTTATTGTTGGACTGTAAGTTCCGATCATTCCTGATTTTTTAATAAATTGCGGCAGAATAAATAGTTCTAAGAATTACAAAGAATAGTTCCTCGTTGTGTCTACACAGAATCAACTGGTTTTTTAGATCGGTGTTTTAAAGTATATTTTGCCCCTCGCTACTTTACATTATCAAGCGGTTTTGCTAAATTACCGTGAAGATGGTATCAAAAGCAGCTGAACGCAGACTAATCAAATTCTTCTTTTTCGAAATTGCCCAGAGCAATCCCCGCCTTTTTTCTTACACAGTTTTAAATGGAATCAAACCACAATTTTGAGATGAAACTGCTATTTCTCATCATTTTCATAAGATGTTAGCTAATTAGGGCGATAGCATGGCCATTCACTGTTTTTATGACCCATTAAAACTTTGTTTCAAAATATTTCCAAAATGCTCTCATAGAAATTGTTCAAACTTTGCTATAATCGAGGCAGCGAAGGGAGGTACAAGCTCCATTAAGCGATTTCCGAAAAAAGCCCTCCTGGTATAGAGAAATATAGCCTCCCACACAGGCGTTTTTAGGGGAGCTCGTCTTTCATCCCTGAAAACTCCTGCGTGGGAGGCTACGAGAAATACAAAGGCAAGTATTTTTGTTTTTTACAAATTTTCATCTTTATACAAAACCTGACAGTTTTCATCTTTATTTTATTATATACCTTAATCCACTAAAGATGAGAGACGAGGACCAAATTGAGAAGACCGATGCCTAAATATTTCGCCTTGTGCCTATGTATGAATAATGGTTTAATTTGTATAGCGATTAAATATACAAACTAAACCATTATTCATACATAGGCACAAGGCGAAATATTTAGGCATCGGTCTTCTCAATTTGGTCCTCGTCTCTCATCTTTAGTGGATTAAGGTATATAATATACTTTCTCAGCTATATTCATGCAAATTTGGATATAGTAAAATTTCTTAGAGGTTCCATAGACTTTTGGATATGAAATGATCCATCACCACCATCAGTATGCTCATGCTTTGGTAGAACTCATTCTCTGTTTGACATGCATCAAACTTGTTTGTTTACATGATCCACTTGATATTTACTGATACCTCTCTACTTCTTTCTCCAGTTTAGGGAAGGGCAATTTGTACTTCGAACAAAGGCAGGACACACTTATCATTGTGACCAAGTGGAAAGAGTTCCAGAGAACGGCATTATTTATGGCATTAACAGAAGAGCAGAACTGTCCCATCGTTCACGATACTATCATGTAATTGGAGGTCTTCCAGGAGATGCCATGCATGATGTTTTGGAAGGAGTACTTCAGTACGAGTGCAAAGAAATGCTAAAGGTTTTTATCCGTGAGGAGACATATTTTACACTTGACCAGTTGAATGAGAGAATAAAGGACTTTGATTATGGCTACTATAATGACAAGAACAAGCCATCACCAATCTCTGCCAATACCCTTAATAGCACCAACAACAGTCTCAAGCAAAAAGGTATCTAATGAACTTGATAGTGTGTCTCAGCACTTTAGTTAAAATGGTCCCACTCAGGCTTATTGAACTTTGGAATAAAATTAATGTGCCTGTATTAAAGCAAAATGTTTGCAAAAGCTTTTTTGATAGTGTAAGTAACAATGCTAGCAATAGTAATATAATGATAATTATGTTCATCAATACCCTGGTTGGGACAATCATCAACAAGTGGAGATCACTGTAGACTGAGAATATTCTATGATGAGAGATTCTTAACTAGTAACTACTTAGCTGACTAGCCAATTACAATCGTGTAGGAGAAGAATCTTAAGCTTCCAGTCTTATAGTCTTTTGTTGTTTCTCGCTATATGTGGGTTCTCAACAACCGAGTGTGTTGAATTTGATTTATTACCACTAACTGTACACTGCAGTTTCTTTCCACCTTTGTTGTCTTGCAGCAGCACAAATGTGGTGTTTGGGTAGATTTCTTCCCCTGATAATTGGCAACCTAATACCAGAAGAGGATGAAAGGTGGCAACTATTTAACATGCTTCTAGAAATCAATGATATTGTCTTTTCGCCAATTGTCAGTGAAGACCACATTGGAATTCTCGAGGGACTAATTGAAGAACATCATTCAACATTTGTTCAGTTGTATCCTGGAAGATCGGTAATTCCTAAGATGCACTACATGGTTCACTACCCATCCCAAATGTTGAGGTTTGTTTAGGCATTACTGTATTATTATTTGAGGTAGCTGAGTGCAGTTTGTCTAGGGTATGCCAAGAAATGTTTTTGTTTTATTTTCCAATATCCAGTAAATTTTATTTAATATCCATTTTTATTATTGTTTTATTATAGCCTTGGCCCAATGGTTAGATCTTGGTGCATGCGATATGAGGCAAAACATCGATATTTTAAACAACTTGCTGGTGTGCTTGGAAACTTCACAAATGTGGCTTATTCACTGTCAATGAGACACCAACGGCTCCAGTGCCTTAAAGTGGATTCTTTAGGAGCTTTTAGCTGTGAATTTCTTCACAAGCCAATCGAAATAGGTGACTTTTGATTTAATACTAATTTTCTGCAGTAGGTCTACAGTTTATAAGGAATCATTGAATCTTTTTGGTTCAGTTTTTGAGTATATGATTTTTCTTTGTTTCTTAAAGATTTAATGCATTACAAAAGTAGTGATCATTAACAACATAGATGGCTACTAAAAGCAATTTTTGGCTGTTCTGTTGGGAGCTAAAATTAATCTTGTCAAAATTATTAAAGCAGTGTTATTGAGGTCTCATGTATCTCGAAAGATTTGACACAGTACATTGTGTACTGAGCCTTGATTCAAAGCACATCTCTTTTTTTGTCAATAGGAACAGGAAAGACAGTTGTGGCTGGGGATGCCGAATACTTTCAGGCATTGTATGAGAAGGAGCCAAATGTAGTTGACACAGATCTTCTGTACGAGTAAGCAAAAAAACTTTACATTTTTTGGTTACATTATAGTGAAATTATAGTTTCATCTTCCACCATCACCTGTGAGGCTCACAAATGATGGACCCTGTGCTTTATGGACTGCAAATCATTGTTCAAATGAAAATCAATAACTACTTATGTATTTAATGTAATGAGATATTTGCTCTTACAAATTTGAGAAAAATTACAATTATCTGGAGTGCATTGTTTAGAGTTGTCTCTTGAATCTTAAATTCTACACATTTCAGTTTTTCCCATGTGCAACTAGAAATTTGAGAGATGTTGAGATAACCACTATTGCTACCTAATTATATGACGTGACCAACTTTATTTTGGTTTTCAATTTCGAGCACATATACTGACAATGCATTGCACACAAATTTAAACTCTTGATTTATACTTTTGTTGTTCCTAATTTTTCTTTTTCTTTTCTTCTTATCTCACTAGAGCCACCAATGTCAACATCAATGGCACCAAATACAAGCCAAATGCTGTAGTATTTCTTGGTTTTGAAGATGATTTACCAGAATTTGGTACAATTGCAAAAATAATAGTATTCGCTGACAAGGACATCTACTTTTTACTCTTTAAATATGTTACTATGGAGTACAATGAGCATTATCATGCTTTTGAAGTACGGAGAGAGCTAAGGCCTGAAACTGTTGTTATGAAGCAAGAAATGCTGGCAACGTACATGCCAATTCACTGTGTTAAGCCCTATGGTAGAAATGTAAGAAATGGGGCTTTGTTTGTCGCACCAAGGTTTATGATACCTGGTGAATAAATCTTTGCTATAAAAGTATGATGCAGGCACCCAAACTCACAAATGAAGGCAAAATAAGAAATAAATTTTATGATGTTCTTTTTCTCATTAAGCCAAGATTAGGTGACTTTTTTCTACTACACTTTTTGCATACAAACTCTATACTGGAAATCTTTTATGCAAATCACACAATGTTGATATATTTGGCTCAAAATGTGAGTTTTGGCTGCCTACAAGAAAAAGGATGAAGAAGATAAGTGTCTAATATTTAAATACCTATTTGACCCACACTGGGCCAAAAATACAATAATAAATTACTTTTATTAAGACAACGATCAATGTGCATTTTATTTTACTTTCTTGTGATACATATTTTTTTGGGTTCCAGTATCATGTGACCTAAGATAATCAGAGCTTCAGGGTTAGCTAAACATCTTGCAGTTAATTTAAAATTAGTGAAACATATCATTTTCCTAAAAAGGAAGCATTACTTATTTTGACCACTCAATGTACATGTAACCGATTTTCTTATGTTAAAATAACTGCTTATTATTGGGTATTATAGCCGTCACTATTTGCTTTCCCTTATTTTAACTGTTGCGAAAAGTTATTTTGACCGTTCAATGTTTTGACCTATTTCAAACGTCAAAACAACTGCTAATCATTTAGGACTGACCAAAAACAAATATTTGAAGATTTTAAACATTTGCTCGAAGGCTAAATGCAGACTCTCACCATTTGAATTGTGCAACCATTTGGTTTCGTTTATTTTAACTTCCTTGAAACGTTATCTTGACCATTCAAGGATGTAACCTATTTTAAACGTCAAAACAACTGCTCATTATTGGTTAACATAACCAATAAGAATAAGGTTATGGATTTTAACTAATTTTTAAAAGGTTATTTTAACCTATTGAAACTGGTTATAACCTTATAAAATGGTTACTACAACTGGTCAGTTTTTACAGTGCAACCTCTCGCAAGTTACTAAGTAAACATTAAATGGAGTGATAAAATAATAATCAGAGCACGTAACAAATAGTTGTGAACTTCTTTGACTGCAGTAAAGTTGACGTTTTTAAGAACATAAAATAACGAACAATGGTTGCACTATGAGACCAGTCAACAGATCAGTTATTGCTAAACAGGAAAGCAGGATGTTTGTGTTGCTCTTCAGTAGGCTTGGTCGCCTCTTTACCACCAAGATGACCAACAAGTTTAACAGAACGGTGAAGGGACAAGCGAGGCGGTTGATAATAATGTGGCCAACGGTGAATTTAAAGTTGAGTTGAACGCTTTGCGTCTCGTTTTCCATGGCAGAATTCAAGATCTTCCTTTGGCTATGTTTGCTGAATTAAAATTAGAATGGTTGGTCTTGCAGAAAACTCCTGAAGCAGCTGTCGAGTCTTTGAATCACTCTTAATGACGAAAATAAACCAATAAATCTTGCTCTTTCTTTCTTTTGAAGAACACAGCCATTCGGGCAAGACCTCAGCTTGATATGATCCTATGTCGTAGTGGAGAATTTTCCAGGTCAGTTTTTCCCAGTGGCAAATCATGCGTTTTTAACTATTGCTGTCGTAGATACATCTAATTGTCAAGTATTCTGTCCTGAAATTGAGAAAATGTCATACAAAGTTGAGTAATAAAGTTTGATCAGGAAATTTTTTAATTGTTTCATCTGTCGTCTTTCTCTCGACCAGAGCTGGTCACTATGTAAACACTTATGGTAGTTTTGGTCCTTGCACAGTTCAGACACTTAATTTAAGTATTTTTTATCCGATTTTAAGAAAAACAGTCTTAGCAAATTCAAAATACCGGGCCTCTCAAAGTGATATTAATCAACTTCTCGGCCAGTGGTCTCGCAAATTCACGACTTTTTAGTTTATTGACTCTTGCAGTCCCGTTTTCCTGTAGTCAAAAAAATCTATTCCAGATACGTTTTCAGTAAATCCATTATTTGAACGCCTGCTTCCGCAGTCCTGCAGTGCTGTAGTCGATGACTCATATAATCTATTTAAGTCGGTAAGTAAAAGACTCAAAAAATACACACGTAGAACATGTAGAATTGGAAATTCGTCTGTGGGCACCTATTATAACCGAACCAGTAAAGTCTCCCAAACGGTCTTCTCTAGAGGCCTGTTTGGTTAATTTGGGACTGCTGCCTGTATTACTAATTTATCAGTTCGTATGCTACCGGCTGATGGGTCCGGTCGAAAGTTCGACGGCATGAAGTAGCCATAATTTCGTTAGCGGATTTTAGGCAATATCTTGGTAATAAAATGTGAAAAAAAAACTTCCAAAAATCGTACGTAAGAGGGCGGAAAAACTCCCAATATCTTGACGAATGGAACTTTTTTCCAAGACTCTTTTTGCCTTTCTCTTTTGCCTTGCTCCTTCGAACAGTTTTTTTTTTTCACAAAAAAAATCGTTGCGTGCCGTTGATTAGTATATTTGAATCTTGACGATTCGAAGAAGGAGTTATCCTGCCCCCGCACTTTTCGTGTGACAAATAAAAAAAATGTTTGCCAAAACTTTTTAGTTCAATTTATGATAGAGAATAAAGAAGACATAACGCTGTAACTGAAAAGGTGCAATATATTGAGTTTGTTACGGCAGAGGCGCATTGAAAAGGATCAGTTGATCTCGGGGGTAGAAGCGGAATCATTTGAATCTTGATTTTCATGATTCCTGTCGTTTTTGCCTCAATGGTTCATGATGCACGAAGACTTCTGATCATCACCTATTGATTTAATGATTTTTTCAGGGGCAACGTTACGGTAGTCTCGTTTTGTATTCTTTGGTGTTCAAACTTCTGCTTCATTCAGACTTGGTATCATCATTCGTATTGTCTTGGCATGGAGTAGCCCCGAATGCACGAATTAGATAGTGGGTCCGGGTAACCCCGGAAAAAATTTGAAAATTGGACCCTCGGAAACGCCATATCCTGCATTCCCTGGATCGAACGCAATTAATTCATACGAGTATTTTCTTCAGCTTTTCTCAGAGTCTCGTTTTTCATGATTCGCGCGCCGAAATACAAAGATTCGTGATTCCCAAGTTTTTAAAACAAAGATTCATGATTCTTACATGCTTTGTATTTTTGGTTCGTGATTCATGATTCCGCTTCCTCCCCCGAAATTGATCCGTTTCCAGGGGCGATTTTTTGCGCGTGTAGACCAGCGGTGATTTCATGACGACTCTTTGCGCGAGAGCCAGGAGGGAGTCATAAACTCGTCAGCGCGGCTGTCCGATGTGTCGGGCCATCGTGACGTCACATCAACGTGAGGCGTGCGACGAGCAGAATTTTCGAAAATGGCGGTGTTATTGTTTTTTATGTGAACACTTTGAGCTTATTTTTTCCCGTGAATGAAGCAGCAATGTGGTTTCCCTTTTCATCGAGGATACCATTACCTCATATTCCAACGGAAAAGGTAAGTGTATTTTGATTG